TGAGACTGTGATGAGAATGTTATAGTGAGACTGTAATGAGAATGTTATAGTGAGACTGTGATGAGAATGTTATAGTGAAACTGTGATGAGAATGTTATAGTGAGACAGTGATGAGAATGTTATAGTGACACTGTAATGAGAATGTTATAGTGAGACTGTGGTGAGAAAGTTATAGTGAGACTGTGATGAGAATGTTATAGTGAGACTGTGATGAGAATGTTATAGTGAGACTGTGATGACAATGTTATAGTGAGACTTTGGGTGTTCTTAATTGTTCATTTAATTTTACTTTTTAAAACTTAAAAATTCTTAAGAGCTCTGGAAACCATGGATCACTTCAACTCGACTTCTAATGTGGTCAGGTTTGTCAGTCAATGTAAACTGAGCTAACTCTTCTCCCACATTCTAATGTGACTAGTTTTATCAGTCAAAGCAAAGTTAGATAACTTTTCTCACACATTCATCATTTTAAAAAGTTGGTGGAGGGAGGGGTACTTAATTGGTTGAAAACTTTCAGTTGCAAGATTTTTGTGATATATTTATGAACGCTTCCTCTTTACTCTCAAATACATGAGGGGGGACACATGACTCTTTGTTGAGACACGTGACTAGGCGAGTGAGCTCGGCCCATCGTAATCTCACCTGAGTTGTTCAAACAGAATGCCAGCTACGGCGCCATTTTTATAAGCACTCCTGTTTCAAACAAATGATTCCACTTTTGTCTATAATTTAAAAATTATAATTTTAATACTAAAAAGTATAAAATATAAAAATAGTTTATATTTTTTTTAACAAAGACGAGTTTCAAGGTAATCAAAGGTAGAAAAATATTTTTAATTTCTTAAAATACATACATTTGTTATAGCATTTGCCGCGCCTAATCGGGTTTTAATATCTAGAATGAAAAATAAATGCAAAAAATAATTGTTAAATTCTAGCGAGTGGTGGTGGCTGGTCACTACAGGTTTAAATTATTTACCAACACATGATTGGTTCTTGAGAACTATAGTTATAGATTTATATGAGTAGAAGGTGCAAGAAAATGGGGAAGAAAATGGACTAAATCTAAAATATACAAATTATACAGTAAAAGTTATTCTTACGTGACAAACCATGAGTAAACACGGTGAATAACTCTGATTATCCAAGCAATTCAATTTCAATCCATACATAAAATTAAAATAACTATTTTTAACAGGTTATTCTAAGTATGACAGACAAACATAACAGAGATATTGTGGCACCTGTGGTGGACTTTGAATTTGACGCGCCGGAAAAAATACACATATTTATATTTATTGCTTTTTTGTAGAGTGAAACCTGTAAATAACGAACTTCGAAATAGCCATGTCCCTGTTATATTACGCACTAAATCGTCCCGGAAATATTAATTTAAAATAAGAAAAAATACATTTCCTACATACATAATCATTTACAGCAATTGCATAACTTAGAAGGTACATCAAGATGTAATTTTGCATTATGCATACCCGGTATTAGAAAATCATGGCCAAGTGCTTCTTGTGAATCAAAGTTTCACTGGCCGTATAGCAAAAACACCAGTTCAAAGGGGCTGAATCCATGTGATTACTGAAATGCTTCCCTGGCAGCGAATAATGCTGAACCCTTGTCGTGCGGCATAGGGACATTGTGTTCTTTAAACCACGATAACCGGTTTCCATATGCAGGTAAAATATTATAGATACTGCCTGTAGGGGTGTAGTCTACACGAAGTTACCAGACTTGGAAAAAGCGATTTGCAAACGTGTGAGACTTGTGTCTCTAGAGATGGGAATAGAACGCTCTTTCAGAAGTTCGGTTTGGGTTCGGTCGGCAGCAGGGTTTGGTTCGGCAACAACTTAAGTCTAAAGTTAATGCTTGGGTTCGGTAACCACTGCAGTTCGTAAATTTGAAATTAATTTAGTTCTACTTTAAATAGAATAAATATATATTACATTTATTATAATCATTTAAGTATGTATATAAAAATGTAAAGTCACCGGTATTTATATATAGGCCTACTATAAATAAATATATGTGTTCCTAAAATTTAATCAAAATAAGCAAATATACATTATGATTGGTTTGTATATGTATTATTCTATTGAAAGGAAGATTCAAAATAGTTTATTATTAAATATCATTTAAACCTAGAATGCTCATTGAGACTTCAATTACACAATGTGTATTAGAATTGCTTTTACACAAACTTCAGAAATATGGGATCCAAGGCACTATCAAAACATGGAGCTCTAGCTTCCTTAGAAACCGTTGCCAGGCAGTAGTGGTGGACGGTACAAGCTCCTTCTTTGTCGGTGTTAAGTCAGAGCCCCCCCCCCCATCCCCCGGATTCAGTGCAAGGCCCCTGTTTGTTCCTAGCATACATGAACTTCTCGAGAAATTGATCTCCCATGTAACACTGTTCGCAGACGACACGGTGGTGTTTATGACGTTCGCCATCAGTTCTGGTCAGGATTGGCTACAACAGGATCTCCATTGGTTAGCTGAGTGGGAATGAGCTGTCACATGGAATTTCATCCAGCCAAGTGCCAGACACTGTCAGTTTCCAGAAGTAGAACACCTCTACACCTCTCTTAGGAATTTTATTGCCAAATGCTTGAGCCGGTTTCCTCCGAAAAGTACCATTCAAAGAGAGGTTCGCTGGGACAAGCCCATTAACAATGTATGCAACCAGGCAAACAAGACCCTAGGCGATATCTAAAGATTAGCTGCAGTGTGAAAGAACGAGCATATAAAGCCTTTGTTTGGCCGCATTTAGAATACGCATCTTCGGTCTGGAACCTATTCACCCAGACGAGCATGGACAGTTCACCCAAAGGAGCCTCGACAAGTTGGAGGCGGTCCAACGACGGGCAGCACGCTTTGTTCTGAATCGCTGCAGGAACACCTCTAGTGTTGGCAGCATGCTGGGAACACTGCGCTGGTCACCACTGGAGAAATGACGAGGATTATCCAGACTCTCCATGATGTACAAGATACATAATGGGCTAGTCCACTGCTCCAGCATTAAACAGAAACTCGTCCCTCTCCCCCCTAGTCAGCGACGAGATCATGACAGGCAGTTCATGCTCATAACAGCACAGTACAAGAACTGCTCACTCCTGCCAAAGACAATCAAGGACTGGAACAAGCGTCAAAAGGAACAGTTGAGGTGACAGACTGGACACATTTGTGTCTATTGCCTCCGGTCTTCCAACACCCAGTTCATGATACCCTCACTGAGTAGCCCTTGCAGCCAGTGAAATATCCTTTTCAATATCAGGCACTAAAAACATTGCGAATCGCCTCTACATGCATAGGAGCCATAAAGATCAATGCATTGATCATGAGCCCTTAATATATAGAAGAAGATTATTGTCATTATTACTTGTATAGCGCTTGTGTCCATGCTATTTAGTACGTTTGTGCATTCTATTTAATTTAGTACTTTTTTAATTTAAAAATTATATTTTCGTACAAATTTTTTCCCATGAGAGGGGCACTTGACTTGCTCCAGGGGCAGTGCCCCCCCCCCCCCCCATTTAATTTAGTTTTTTTTTAATTTAAAAATTATATTTTCATAAAAATTTTTTCCCATGGGGGGGGCCCTTGCCTTGCCCCAGGGGCAGGGCCCCCCCCCCCCCCGAGAGATGCCTGAAAGAAACTCTGATCAGTACAGGTATGCGAGCTCCGAAGAATGACCTCTGATTAAGTCACAGGCTGCCACGGAGTAGGAGAATCGTGGTGTAGTGACATTGACAGTCGTGAGAATTTATGTCGAAATGTGGAAGCGGGAGTCATAGAATTAGGGATAACACATAAAGTGGGATGGAACAAAAAAAATGGTTGACGGGGGGGGGGGAGCTCTTTGTAAAGGTTAAAGAGCAGGGATTCTTAACCATTACGCAGCGCTGCATCACATCTCGATTTCAAGACATTTTCAGCAACTGACCGAGTCATACAAAAATAATTAATTGATAGTAATTAAATAATTCAGTATTGTCATTTTATTTCTATAATAAACTTTATAGAAACGATATTTTCAAAAAACGATATTTTCAAAAAACAACTATAAGCAGCCTATGCACAGGCAAAATTCACCAGAGAAACATTTACTGCTGCAAATCAAAATGCATCAAAACTGATTTTTATAATTAAGGCAGCAACAACTAGCAGCAATGAGGTTCTTTAAAGAAATTAGGTTTTCACATCTCTCTTGCTGTCATCTATTTCTGATACTACATTGCTGTTAACTTTTTTTTTTTTTTTATTTCTTTTTTTTTTATTCTTTATTTTTTTTTTTTACCGAAGAAGGCTTTTTGCCGCCCCGATCGTTGCTTTGCTGTCCTTTATCAGAATTTCTTTTTTTTTTTTTTTTTTAGA